GTCGCATACTGCCAAGCTGGATTTAACCACACACTTCACCCTTGGTTCTGCTTTTCGTTGTCTGTTCTCAGTGACTTTCGATGTCTTTGGACTCTGAGTTCAAATGATTATCATGTTTTGTGGTAGGGCGATAGACGGTCTATCATAGACCGATCGAGTACAGGAGAGTTCGCGCGAGAAGCCCAGGATCTACTCCCACGAGTTTTACCACGCCCGAGTTAATCCTTTGTCAACTTTGCCGAGCCGGCAAGGCCCAACGAGGAAGTTGATCAGCGTCGTATGGCCTTGTATGAATCGGTCAGTGATCTCCGATCATCATATCTCCATAGAGATCCTCCTTTTTGATGGAATGCTCCGACCAAAGCTCGAGCTCAATAATTCAAGGCTGAATAAGGCTCCGACCAAGGCTCCGACCAAGAAGCAGCTCAGGCTTATGTGGAGAGACTGCGGCAGCACTTGAAAGAGGTTCAACAAATTGGGTCACAACACATCAAGCAGGTGGCAGGGAAGCGAGCGCTGGAACGTAGAGAGGATATGGAGCCTGAAGAGGTGTTTCAGGTAGGTTGTCCTAATAGGATAGTATCCTAGTGCTGGTGACTTGAGTTCAGGTGGGCGACAAAGTTGCCTTTAAGAGAGACTCTTCGGCCGCAGTACATAGCTCTAAGTTCCAGAAGCGCAAGTTCCATGGGGTGTATCTAGTGACCAAAGTGTTGTCCCCAACCAGTTACTGGTTACTAGTTACTACCCAATAGTTACCGTTACCTGGTTACCCCATTACTAGTCGTTGCGTCCCGAAACGACCTTACTGGTAACAGCGCAACAATTGCCATAAGACACCGTGAACGTAGTGAACAGCTAAACGAAACCTAGAGAATAACCCAGTTCTTGTTCCCCTTTAAAACGTGTTTTTTACACTTCTCAGTTCTTACGTTATCTCGGAAACTGCTCCAGCACTCAGCATAGCCCCGCAAGGCTCGCTTTCTGCCGATTAACGGACAGAGGTCTTCTTCACCTTCAACTACCAACTCCTCACCATCACGGTCTCCTCGAAGACGATACAGGTAAAGATCGTCTTCTCCGGCATACCAGTCGTCCTCACTGACGACCGAATACTCCTGACGAACTTGGCGGTCTAGAGAGAAGTTCGACCAAACGAACACCTTGTCTCCGGGGACTATTGACATGTGATTAACACAGGGATGCTGAATTCCGAGTCAACACTACCACCAAAAAAACAACACCAACTAATGAGATTAACTTACTCGCCTTTCCTCAGCCTTGGAAGGCCACCGCCTTATTCAAGGCTCACCATCCTCCATTCGGAGCTTGATGCGCATCCGCTCGTTGTGCTTTCTCAGTGGATGAATGAAGAATCGTTCATGTGAACGGCGATGACCCATGAAACACTTCAGGGCACCGTGCAGGGCCTCGGCAGCGTTGTTTGTACTATGTCGAATGCCCGCTGGAGCTGATCAGACTGATCAGATCAGTATAATATAGTATATTAAATATACCCGAACGTGAGGTGCCTCGCCAATGGAGGATCAGACCTAAAAGAGACCCTTTTCCGAGAATATGAATTAACAGAACCCGACGTTGGAGTAGTAGAGCGATCGACACGACTATCGGAGGCGGGCTTGAGTGAGAGCGAGTTGTCAACAAGACACTTAAACAGAATAGGGTCCTCCAAGACTCAACCTCTCCTGAAAAGCAACACAGTATAGAACACAAAAGCGAAACTTCCTACTTACCGGAAGACAGTAGAGAACGAAACTTATCACGACACTGTTGACCGGTCCTAGCTGGGCATTGTGAGCTTCACATTGTCTTCACAATGTGAAGACTCAGTACGAAAATACCGATAGGAAATAAGACCAATTGAATCCGAGAGTTTTCACAGTGCGAAAGCTCTCGGATTTAATTGAAATTCACACCCGAGATGAACAGAATGACCTCAGATCGCGTCCAGAAGTTGTAGCACCTGATACGCTTACTCGTTGAGGGTTCAGGATCAGCGACAGAATTTTTCGTCACAGAATCGTCATCGTGGGGAGATACCGGGGAAGAAGTAGCAGTAATAGTAGTAGTGGAGTGTCGTCGCTTCACAGGAGGCGTAAGAAAAGGAGAAGAACCTACCCATCCGGAAAG